AGAGAGAGAGAGAGAGAGAGAGAGAGAGAGAGAGAGAGAGAGAAATGTATTTTTAAAAACTTTCCTTCCTGAGACATGCTAGTACATTGAAAGCTGTGGTTGAAAGCTATGTTAGCAGGAACATCAGCAGAATGATTCCATAGTGAGAATCTAACGGCCAGACTGGTGTTGCTCCAGTCTGATCCTGGGTTTTCTAATATATTACAGGTCAGGTTTTGCTAGATAATTTTTCAAGGAGTATGGTCCCTTTTGTGGAAAGTTGTAAAATATTTTGACATTATTAAAATATTTTTATGTGTGTGTTTGCCTGTATGTATGTGTAAGTGGTATGTATGGAATACCCGAGGAGGCCAGAAGAGGGTGACAGAGCCACCATTTGTGTGATGGGAACCGCTTCAGCTGCTCTTCAGTGCTGAGCCATCTCTCTAGCTCCTGCTCTTAGTTTTTTTTAATGTACCTTTGCTACCATTAAAGACATTTTCCTGAATATTCACAGTAAAGTTATCAAAATCAGGAAATTGTCACAAACACATGCCATCTTCAGCCCTTATTAAAGCTTTGTCAGTTTTCTGAATTTTGTCCTTTGGATCAAAACAGAAGGAACGAGAGTCACCCTGATGCTGTCCTTCCCTTTTTGTCTCTGTCACCCTGGGACAGTCCCTTGATCTTTCTTTGACTCCTAGGGTCTTGACACTGTGAACATGGTAGGTCAGGTGGGGTGTGTGTGTGTGCGTGTGTGTGTAACCCAGGGTCTTCTGCATGGTAGGCAAGCACTCTGTCACTGAGCTATACCCCAGCCCAGTTCAGGTGTTTGTTCGAATGCCCCTCATCTGATATTCTCTTGTGATTAGGCTTGCAGCTCTGCACCTTGGCCAGGAGTGTCACAGAAGGGTTTCCACATTCCTGAGCTGGCCACTCTCCCTGTGTTGATTGCTCTATTATAGGTTCTGCTTACCCTACTCACCTGGGTGACATGGCACCTGCCAGCATCCCAGACTGTGAAGTCCTTTCTTACCCCTCTGTAATTATAAATACTCAGTGGGTGATCTAAGATCCTGCTCTTTTATTAGAAGTCTAGTTCTGACCTCTGGAGATCATGGGAACAGAGCACTTCCTCAGCTGCCCTGTCCTTCAGGACTTTTCTCCCTGCTGTGTCCAGGGCTGCTGTTCTTACACACTGATGCTTATAGAAGCTGAGCCACCTGTCTCCTAGATTAGTTTCAGGGTTCTGATGTTTTCTAGTCTAGAACACAGGCTATAGAGCTGAAAGGTTCCCAGTGTGGCCTTGTTGCTACCAGCCTGTGACTTTGGTCCCGAGTCGCAGTTTCCTCCTGTCTGAGACAGAGGAACAGGAAATCACCCTCCTCACCCCTGAGGGCCACTGTGCAGGTTGTCAGGTGGAAGGGTGCTCAAGGACCCTCACTGGGCCTAATGCAAGCTAGATGCTCAGAGAATGCTGGCTCCATGCTACGGCAAGGCCCCCCACCATCAACCTCTAGCTTCCTGGTGGCTTGATGTATGTACCAAATACTAAACAAGATACAAGATGCTTGGGGGAATTTAGGACAGGATTCCTGTATTTCATTGACTTCAGCTTGTGACACTGAGTACTACTGGGTGATAAACCACAGTACAGCACAGTGTCAGATTGGCCCTGAGGAGACTGGAAGCATGTCCTGCAAGTTGCTTCTTAGGTAGATCAGGGCGCACATTGTGAATTGTAGGCTGAAGGGAGAGACTGCAGGAGGGATCCCACAAGCCAGCTCTGCTTACCAGCCAGCTTTGGGGAAGGTTCACCATGCATCTGACTTCTCCTTTGCCAGGCTGATTGGCATTACTGACCCTCTCAGGGTTAGGATCTTCGACTTGCTTCTTAATGCCTTTAACATTTGGACCAAGCTGATGGTCTTAGGTTCCAGTGTGTGTGATCGTGTACTGGTGTTGACATGGTGCCCATTCCTATGTAGGTTGGGGCAAGACTATGCATTCTAGAGATACTGCAGAGATGAAATGTGTTTCTAAGTGTTTCAAGGGCAGCACCACTCCAGGGTCCAGCCCCCAGCAGGAGGTGCTGATAATAGTGAATATTGCTTTGGGTTTTAGGGGATCCGTGTTCAGGTCTTTTGCTTTTCCAGAATCCTCACTTTCTCGGAGTCTACCTATATACCACCTTCCTACATCTCAGAGATGGAGCAGGCAGCCAAGCAAGGTGACACCATCCTGGTGTCCGGGATGAAGACTGGGAGCTCCAAGCTCAAGGCTCGCATTCATGAGGCTGTCTACAAGGTGAGCCTGAGGGGCTGTTTCCCAGTGGGGGCAGGATGGCTTCCTGCTCATACTCAGGGACACACTGGATGGTCAGAATGGCACTAGAGTGCTGTGACTTCTAGATCTTTCTGTTTATTTGATTTGTTTGAACCATGGCATAGGGAAGGGATTTGAGGCTCTTAAAGTCAACATCTCAGGGGTCTCAGACATTTTCTCCTTCTCAGTTTTGAAGGAGTTACCAGAGCAGCACGATTCACAGCTTGCATTTCCCATCCGGATGCAGGGACACACCCAAACATGTGAGACTCAGAAAACTAGGACCTGAACTCTGGACCTCTGTAAGAGGGCCCCAGGTGTCTTTGTCATCTCTCCCTGTACTCCAGACTGATTCGGTGGGCCCATTTGGGGACAGCTGGGTCTTCCCACTTCTCCTGAGTTAGTAAATAGCTTTCCCTGCCAGCTTTGCTGGAAAGCACCTGCCCAGAGCCCAGGCTCACAGGAAGGACTGGGTTTGTTTTTTGTTTTAGGTGTCAAAAATACTATCTAACTTACTGTTCAGTGAAGAAACTGGTAAGATTACAGTGGGCTCAGGGAAGAACCCTTAACAGTCAGATCTGGGTAGGTCCTGGGTTTCCAGGGTGTGGAAACAAGTTTACAAAGAATTGGAAGTGGATGTGAATCTGCGGGATGGTGGTCAGTTACATCTCCACCAAGAACAGTGTATTTGCATTTCTACCAACAAGAATCATTTTTGTCTGAGGGGAAGCTGATCTTTTTGAAGGAAGTGACTAGATAGGCTGACTAGACTCCAATGGATGAACTTGCACTGAGGGACGTCTGTTTACACTAACTTGACTTGATAGGCCTTAACATAAATGACAGAATGCATGAAAAATCTGGTGGGGGTACTAAGAGAAGGTGTGGATGAGGGAGGGGGCATAAAGGTAATTAAGCTGTTTTATATGAAATACACAAAAGTTGAATAAAAGATATACAAAAATAGAATCATTTTCTTTGCCATTAGTTTTCTTCAATCTTCAGACAAAGCCGCAGGCCCCTGGAGAATCTGATTCCTAGGGTACATGGGGCAGGAGGCCCATAGTCTTTCTAAACCAGTCTCTCACATTGATTACTGAGGGCCAGGTGGAGGCTGAGGGGTGAGTTGGGGAAGGGGTTGAGGAGTAGCAGCTGAGGATGCCCAGTTCTCCCTCTTTTAGGTTGGCCTGGGCCTTCTCAGCCACCTTGAACCTCTGAGCATTTGTGGGGTGAGAATGTGAGTTCCTGGTAGCCGTAGCACCTGTAGACATCACTCTGGGCTCTGCTGTTTTCTTTCACTGTAGTTACTGACACTTTCAATGGAGGAGTGAGTGTAATGTACAGTGAGTGTGCTGCACTAACTGTGGGGTTCTCCTGGGATTCCTGGGTTTAGGAGTGGTGTCCAGTTTCTTCACCTTTAATCTCTGTTCCCATAGAAACACACTGAAAAGTTAAAAAATAAAGCAAAGTTCTGGGGTTTGTAGCTGTAGTTAAGATTCATGCCTAGCATGGGTTAGGCCCTGGGGTCAGGCCCCAGCACTGTTTTATAAAAATAAAACAAACAGGTCAGAACAGATGGCTTAGCAGTTAAGAGTGAACACTGCTCTTGCGGAGGACCAGAGTTCAGTTCAGCATCTACCTCGGGTGGTTCACAGCTGCCTGTATCTCTAGCTCTAAGGGGATCTGATGACTTTGGCCTCTTCAGGCAACTGCTCTCATGTGCACATAGCCACACATATACACACATAATTAAAAATTAAAATTAAAATCTTAAAAATAGATGAAACAAAATAATGGAGCTGGAAAGATAACTCATCAGTTAAGAGTTTACACTACTCTTACAGAGGTCCAGAGTTCAGTTTCTGAGTAGCATCCATATGGGGACGGGACAGCTCACAACCGCCTATAATTCTAGCTCCAGGGGATCTGATCATCTTCTGGTTTCTGTGGACACCCCCACATACGTGGCATTCATTCACACAGACACACACATTCATAATTAAAAAGAAAATCTTTAAAAAATTCCACCCAAACCTCTCTTGCTATATCACCTTCTCTCTCTCTTCTCTACACTAAGAATGTTCGCTCTGCAGAAGTCAGGCTGCTGATCTTGGAGAACATCCTTCTGAATCCAGCCTACGATGTCTACCTGCTGGTGGGGACGTCCATTCGCTACAAGGTGCAGAAGATCAGGCAGGGGAAGATTACAGGTACATGTGTGACATGGGAATCACAACAGACACATCTCTCTTTCTTACTGTGGTAAAATACATGTAACAGAGTTTACCACTGTGACTCTTGTCATGTGTAGAGCTCAGTGGCATTAAACATATTTACAGTGTTGTGCAGCCATCACCACCATCTGTCTCCAGAGCTTTTCTGTCTTCCCACACTGAACTGCTGTCCTTATTAAACACTTAACTCCCCATCTCTCTCCCCTGGCACCCACAAACCTGTGCTCACTATCTCATGAATTTGCTCTGGGGAACCTCACTTCAGAGGAATCCTGTCTGCTTGTTCTGTGACAGGGCTGTTTCACTTAGTATGTCCTTAATGGTTCTCTGGTGTTCTAGCAAACATGTCAAATGCATTTTAGCTGTTCCTCTCTTCACTGACATTTGGCGTGGTTCTGTCTTTTGGCCATTGTGAAGAGTGCTGTGAACACAAGTATGTGCCTGTCTTAGTCCTTGCTTTCAATTCTTCTGGGTTCAATTAAAGCAACTCCAGAGATGTGGGCATCACATTGGACTTGATTTTGCCCGTGGCCTGCCTTTGACTGCTGAGCAAAGTTGAGCAAGCCCCCTCCCAGGGCTGTGACTCAGGTGGGCTCTTTCTGCCTGTGCTGTCAGGTAAAATGATTAACATAAGTGAAACTGTTCTGCAAATTCTAAGGTGTTGAGTAATTGTAGTATATCTTACATAGATGGTCAGTGTTCTGGGTGGAGCTGGTTCTAGGAATCATGACCATCGTGTTGAAAGTGCCTTTGTGTGGTGCCAGAGCATCACAAGATGAGGGTGCTGCATTCAGGATAAGTCTATAGGTTTCAGGCACATATCCCCACAGGTGACCTGGCATGGCAGGGCTGCTCCAGGGTGTCCTTTAAGAGATGTGTAGATAATCCTGCCTATAAGCAACTTAAGGCCTCTGGACTCCTATAGAGAATTCTTTAGAGAGTTCTAGGTTGTATGACAGTTCACAGATGGGGACCTGAAAGAGTCCATATCAATGATTCCCCCAGCAGTGTTTCTGGTTAGTCATCCTGGTGGGGAATACTTGGTCCCTTGGAAGACCTCTACCTCCTGTCTTTCTGACTGAGGACCTAGATGAAGGAAGCTTGCTTGGTTTCTTGAGTATCTGCAGTGTGCTGGGCAGGTGGCACTGGCCTTCTAAATGATGACCAGTCAGAGGAGTGAGGATGCTGTAGCACAGGTGTGTGGGAAGCCCAGGTTCTGGTCAGTCTGATTACACCCTTGACTCTGTGGAAGAAGATTCTGGGAAGACAAGGACAGTTCTAAGACTGTGCTGAGGCTTTCTGAGGCCTCTGGAAAAGTGGTCAGAGGTGGAGTTCTATGCTCACTGTTGAACACAGGGGATGGGGAGGTGTTGGAATTTCAGGGGACACAAATGGACATGTGAATACAAATGCTAATCAGGAATGATGTGCTACATGGAGGAAGAGGACTTCAAAGGCTGGGCATTGCTGCGTGGCTCACCAGGACTGAGTACCTTGGAAACACCAGGCAAGGGTCTAAGAATTCTTCCTGTTAGGATTCAATGACTCTGGGAGGTGGGCTTCACGAGTATCCCCTGGTATGGATGGGGAAACTGGGCATGGAAAACCTGAAGGTCACAAAGCTATAAACCCTATTGAGTATTGTCTTTCATCTACTGTCTCCTCAATGAAACTTGGAACAAAATGCTAAGGACACCAAACAGAGCTTTCTAGTCCTGGGGACAAAGGAGATGGTCTCCCTGCACAGGGTCCACGAGAGATGGAACTGCCCCAGCTCAGGAGTGGGGAGAGCCAGCATGACTAGGAGAGGCTGGGCTGAATTTTTTATAGCACGTATCCTAAATTAGCACTAGAGTTCATCCCTCTCCTTCCTGGCTATAGATGCAATGTGAGCCTCACACTGCCACACTATGCCTTCTCCATGATGGACTATATCTCCTTAGATGTTAAACCAAAATAAACTTTTCCTTTCTTAAATTTTCTTTGGTCACAACGGTCCAGAAACCTTGGAGCTTTGTTGACTCACTTGCCATAGAAGTTGAGAGGGAACCCATGAGAGGTATCCCAGGGCTGGAAAGAGACAAGACCCTCTCTCTCATCAGTTGGGTACAGGCCTTGTGTTTGGTGGTGGTGTTGGACAGGTTCAGAGAGGCTTCAGAATGGATGCCACAGGAAACAGAGCGTGCTGGTATCAGTTCACCAGGGATAAGACACAGGTGGAAACTCTGCCATTTTCTTTAGATAGACTTTTAAAATCTGTAATGTAGCTCAAATCACTGTCTTTTTTTTGGGGGGGGGTGATTATGTTTATTCATTGGCACATAGTTAAATACTTTTATTTCCAAAGCCAGATTTAACCATTCCATTTGAAAATTAGCATCTAACTTACATAAGTTGACATTTTCTTTCACAAATTTATGAGGCATAGAAATTGAGAGTTTCACTGAAACTTTCACACATTAAAGAAATTTATGGCTGGGTATGGTAACGGGTGTCTCTAATCCAGGCACTCAGGAGGATGAAGCAGGAGGATCATGAATATAGATCAACCTGGGATAGAGTACCATAAAGATAGTCTGGGCTATGGATCAAGGCCTCGTCTCAGAAATAGAAAAATTATGAAGATTCATTTCATTGACAGTGATCAAAGACATGGCCTTTCTCAATTGGCAATTCTGAATTTCCTGCCATTTCTGCACAGGATTGCTTTGATTTGTGAATATAAATATTGACTGTGCAGATAGATGACCTTTAAGAACTTTCTAATACAAAAGGATAGGTCCACACACTTGGCCAACAGAGCGTCTCTGAGCTACATCCCAGCCCAGCCAAGTCTTTAAATTCAGATACACTCTCTCCATAAGGATGCCTGTCCAGGTGTGAGTGTAGCTGAATGCCTTTTCTGCAATCTCTCCATTTACAGTGCTTCTAGTGGGAATGATGGGGGCATCAGATGAACTGTGACCCTGTATTTCCCTACACTGTGAGGTTGCTGATGCCAGGTGAGTTTCAAGTTCTATCAAAAATTCTTGACATTTCTTTCTTGGTTCCACACTGACGTGGTTTCCCATGTCACGTGAGGACCACTTCTACTAGAAAGTGTTTCTGTGTTTTTGGATATGATGCCTTGCCCTGTTGCTCAGACTGCCTCAGTCCCAGTGAATTTCAGCCATCACTTCATTTCATATCTTCCTGTTTGCCAAAAATGTTTGTCTTTATCTTCCTGGTTCATCTCCATGTTGCCACTCACTGAGAGATTCTGGATGCTTCTACACAACAAAACAAATCTATGTTCCAGTTTGAAGGTCCACTCAGATTTGCTCATGCAGAGCCCCAGGAACCCCAGGGTGCTGCAGTTCTCCAGCATCACAACCTGTTGACACAGTCCTTCAGCAGCATCCGGGTCCAGCTATGGGACCCAGCATCAGGGAAGTACACAGCTATGTCCTCAAATGATAGCACCCATTCCTAGTCTCCTGCACATCCAGCATCCTCCCTTGGTTCTCCCTCTGTCAGAGTATGACAGGGTAACCAGCTGTGGCAGAGCCTCCTAGCCTCCTGAGCAGACATTAGACATGGCAACATATCCCACAATCCGAATCACTCATTCCTAATAGAGTTATTAACCTGAAAAATGAGCAATGGTGCCATTATAGGGGCCTCCAATTTCAGTAAATGCCTGTCTTGTGTGGCATTCTGTGGGAGACTCAAGAATTCCAAGCTGGATGACAGTTGGAAGATACCATATGCTGGACAGTTAAACCCCAAGTTAGTTCTTTATGTTATCTTTTGACTTCCCTTTTCCTTCCTTAAAAATATAAATTGGAGGCGGGGAGCTGGAGAGATGGCTCAGCAGTTAAGAACGCTGGTTGTTCTTGCAGAAGACCTGGGTTCAAATTCCAGCACCCACATGACAGCTAACAACTGTCCGTAACTCCAGTTCCAGGGGATCCAACAGCCTCTTCTGTCTTCCACAGGCATTCATTGCACGACATGGTACACTTACCTATGTGCCAGCAATACATACATACACATAAAATAAAATAATAAATAAAATATTTTTTAAAAACTGTAAATTGGGAAGGGGGTGCTGGAGAAATGGCTCAGCAGCTAAGAGTAGCAGCTATTCTTACAGAGGACCCAGAGGACCCAGATTCTATTCCCAACACCCTCATCTGTTACTCCAGTTCCATGAAAACTGACGCCCTCTTCTGGCCTTTGTAGGCATTGCATGCACAGGTGCACTTACATACACAGAGGCAAAACACTCATTCATGTAAAAAAATGTAATTTTTCTCCTTTCCTTCCCTTTATTTTTCTTAAGTTTACCTTAGCTTTCTTTGCTATTTCCTTTCTTACAAACATAGTTACTGAGCATTGCAAAATGCTGTGCCTGCATTTTGCTGGGTGTTGGGTGTGCAGTGGCCAGCAGGGCAGCCTGCTCCCTAACCTCCTGGAGCTCACAGGACAGTGGAAGGGAAGATAGTTGTGCTGGATAGCTTCAGTTGTCATTTTGACACACCTGGGAAGAGGGAATCTCAATTGAGGGATTTCCCCTATTTGATTGGCCTATGGTCAAGTCTGTAGACTTTTCTTACTTGCTAATTGTTGTGGGAGGGCCCAGCTTGTTGTGGGCAGTACCACCCCTGGGCAGGTGGTCCTGGGTTGTCTAAGAAAGCAGGCTGAGTACTGGCCAGAAGTAAGCCAGTAAGAGACGTTCTTCCATGGTGTCTTTCAACTCCTTCCTCTTTGGGCTTGTGCCTTGACTTCTCTCAATGACGGACAGTCACTTGGAAGTGTAAGATACAATAAACCCTTTCCTCTCCTAGTTGTTTATGGTCAGAGTGTTTTATCACAGCAATAGAGAAGCAGAGTAGAATAATAACAGTAAAATCTCAGCTTCCAGTTGAGGGAGAGAGGAGGAAAGAGTTCCTGGAGCTTAGGGGTGGGACAGCTGTGTTGTCTGCAGGACTGGGGCTTCCACATTTGGGCCATGGGTCTCTGTGGTTAGTGTCTAGTTCTTTCTATCAATATTGTGGTTTGGCTCCAATATTCATATGTTGGAACCTTGGTTTAATGTGGTGGTATGGGAATTGATAGAAACTTAAAAGAGGTAATCAGAGGTGTTTATATCATTAAAGTTGTGCCCTTCAAAGGGCTTAAGGTTGCTCTTGTGGGACCCTTGATTACTATGAAAGCAATCAAGGCCTCATCCAGTCTGTCCCTGTTCCCACCTAGCAGTGGGACAACTTCTGTGTGCACTCCGTCAGTGTGGTCTGCCAGGAGGTACTCACAAGAGCTGAGCTTGGGCTGGTACCTTGACCTTGAACTTTCAGAACTGTGAGCTAAATAAATGTCTTTGTTATACAGTGCATGCCTCATGTATGTCACTATAGCATCATAACATGGACTATTGCAGTCCACAGCCCTCTTGGTATTTAGAGTGATTGAATGCATGACAGCTATAGCAATCAAATGATTAAACATAACAAAAATTGGGATGGGCATATTGGCTGATGGACTTGGTATCTGAGAAGAATCTGAGTGGTTCGAATGGTGGAAGTACTGAAATGAAACTACGGAAACAAGTGCACTGCTTTGGAAAACTAGCCATGTGAACAGGTGTGGGTGTAGTGGCTAATACCTTTAATTCTAACACTTGGAATTAAATCCAGGCAGGCTGATTTTTTATGTTTGAGGCCAGCCTAGTGTACATAGCAAACTCCAGGCCAGCCAGAGCTATACAGTGAGACCCTGTGATTAAAAAAAAAACAAACCCCAAAACCCCAGACAACAACAACAACAAATCCTTAATTGTACTGAGTATACATTTCCATTCCAAAAGGGAGAAACAGGGACATAGAGTGGAGGGATGAGTACCAAGTCTAAAACCCAGCAGAGAAACACCAAATCCTTTTGCTCAGTGTCTGGCATCTGGTGCTTGTGGTAGTATGATGTGAGCTCTGGTGGGCTGCTGTGGCCTTCCCATTTGTATCCCACATGGCCTGTCTCTTGGGTTGCCTCTACTTGTTGCCTACAGCTTTCTTTGGCAGATGTTCCACTTTCCTTGAATCTCCCCACATCTTGGAGTCCCCATTATAGCTTAGGCTTTACCCTCACAACTTCACACAGGAGCTGCCTGCCAGGATTGCAACCTTGCTATACTTTGCCAGGTCTCCATGGCTTTCCTCTGAATCTGGGTAGAAGCCTGTATGACTCCTTAACTTTTACATTCTGCATGTTTCAAAACTAACATCATAAGGAAGATGCCAACTGACTCGACCTACACCTGCAGTGGCCTCTGAGTGACCAGGCAGCTGAGCACAGTGAAGCAAATCCTGGAAAAAACACTAGGATGTTTGAAAGGTCTGAGAGTAGCTAGGATGCCTTGTGTCCACGCCGTAACACTCCTAGAGGACTTGTGTGGTAAATTGTTGGGCCCCACCACTAGAGTTTGATGTGGAAGGTCTCAGGTGATGCTGATGGTCTAAGGATTATACTCTAAGGACTGTCCTGGCTCAGGACATGTTGAGCAGACCATTGGGGACTTTTTGGAGCACACTTGAGATGCAGAAGGTAGGCAAGGTGCCTCTCCTTACAAAGTCCTGGGAATTCTGAAAAATGTTTCAGCTGAAATCCTCTAAGGAGCCATCATCTCAACACCTTCCATTCTGGGCTGAGAAATGGTGAGCAGAAGTGTTGTCTGCCCTTCCTCTCTCTTTCACAGGAGGTCTATTTAAATATGGCCACAATACTGACGACTTGTTTGGATGTGCTGAGGACTTGGGAGGGGATGGTGAAGTGGCAAGGCTCTCTGGAGGGGGGTTGCTGCTCTGCTCCTCATTAGCTGTGGGACCGTCTTAGTCCATCTTGTGTTATGACAAAATACCCAAGACTCAGCACTTCATAGAACTCATAGTTCTGGAGGTCCAAGAGCACAGGCTTTGTTCAGCTCTGCCTTCTGTTTGCAGCCCCCTTGGCTTCTCATCAGGGCAGGTGGATCCCAACATCACTGTGTAGGAAGGAGGTTCATGGTGAGAGAGGAGGCTGGAGGGCTCAGGAGACAGGCTTGCACTTTTATAACAGCCTGCTCTTGCCAGAAACTAAGTATGGTTCCAGGAAAAATACCTCTCTATTCCAAGGCCATGCCTCAGTGACTGACTTCCCTGACCTCCCTAGCCTAGGCTATATGCTTGTTTACTTCTTAATTCTGTAATTACTTTTTTGTCTTTGTGTGTGTGTGTGTGTGTGTGTGTGTGAGAGAGAGAGAGAGAGAGAGAGAGAGAGAGAGAGAGAGAGAGAGAGAGAGAGAGAGAGAGAGAGAGAGAGAGAGAGAGAGAGAGAGAGAGAGAGAGAGAGAGAGAGAGAGAGAGAGAGAGAGAGAGAGAGAGAGAGAGAGAGAGAGAGAGAGAGAGAGAGAGAGAGAGAGAGAGAGAGAGAGAGAGAGAGAGAGAGAGAGAGAGAGAGAGAGAGAGAGAGAGAGAGAGAGAGAGAGAGAGAGAGAGAGAGAGAGAGAGAGAGAGAGAGAGAGAGAGAGAGAGAGTGAAAAGCTGTTCTGATGGTGTGGCCTGAGAGTTGGGCTGGAGATGGCTGTCTCAGAATCTGGCATTTCACATCTTTGCTCCCTTCTGTTTCTTGTCTTTCATGCCCAGAACTCTCAATGCCTTCTGACCAGTATGAGCTGCAGCTTCAGAACAGCAGCCCGGATCCCCAAGGAGACCCTGCCCAGCCAGTGGCTGTCCTGGCTCAGGACACGTCGAGGGTCACTGCCATGCAGCTGGGACAGAGCAACCTCGTCCTAGGCCACAGGAATATCCTCTTCTCCAGTACTGTCTGTCAGCGTGTCGTGCCTGCTACTTTGAAGCCAAGTTGTTTTTCTCCCTGAAAGCCAGCCAGGACTAAAAATAGCTCTGTTTCCCCATCTGTCTGAAAATCAGAAAGAACCTAAATAGCGGCAGGGCTGAGTGGAATTGTTCACCCCTGTGGATGACTCACTGCGACACTCCCAGAGATGGAGGCTGGGGCGGGCAGGAGGCAAGTGTCATTTCTGGCCTCTGGAAACTTCTCATGCACCACAGCCCATCAGAGGGTCCTGGCAGAGGCTCTGTGAACTTGGCAGACAGGTTGTTGCTGTCCCCAAGTTGATCGTATGCCATGTGTTCCTGGGGTCCCTAGGGGTCCTTGCAGAGATTCTGCTTTGTAGGGTAGAGAGTACAGCAAGGTCTCGACTAACCAACACCTTTATCCTAACTGGCCTAAGCTGGAGTTCTTCACCCCCCCTCCAAGCCATGTGCCATCAGCATGATGCTCATGCCTCAGATAGCTTAGCCTTGTGTTTTGTGCCTTAATTAACAATTCAGGTATTCGAATGCAGGGAGCTTCTAGGCTGCCCAACAGCACCGTCTATGTGGTTGAAGCTGGATACTTAGGTGAGTGTAGCCCCTTGGGGCTTCCTGGATATTGCTTGTTTGTGACTCCATGAACTCAAAAAAGTAAAAGCAAGAGTTGGGGTTTAGCTCAGTTGTACATGTCTTGGCAGTGTGTAGGTGGTCCTGGGTTCAATTCCTAATACTAGCCAGCAAAGGCAGAACAAAACTGAAGAGAAGCAACAACTCTTTATCTGCCAGGCTTGGGGCCATCGGTCTGCAGCTCCCCAGCCTTGTCTGGGGACAGTGGTGCAGGTCATCCTGCAGATCTGACTCTTGTTAGGGGACCCTGTGGTCAGCTCGGTTACAGAGGATATTTTTAAAATACATTTTATTTATTATTTTTATTTTATGTGTATGAGTGTGTTGCCTGCATGTATATGAGTACATTCGTGTTGCCCAATGCCTCGGAGGTTAGAAGAGGGCATCAGATTCCCCTAGAACTGGAGTTAAGGACAGTTCTTAGCTGTCATGTTGGTGCTGGGACTCAAACCTGGGTTCTCTGCAAGAGCTTTTAACCACTGAACCATCTCTCCAGCCCTAGTTACAGAGGATTTTAAGGCGACATGACAGTTGGCCTGCCTTGGGAGGGAGGAAAGAGGAGTCATTGGAGAGGGGTAGGGGGCACCCATTAGAGAAAGGGAGCATGGGTGAGAGGTTGGAGACACCTGCTGCAGCGGAAGAGCCTGAGGCCCAGTCAGGCCCAGGAACTGCCATGGTAGCCAGTGCTGAGACCTTGGGATGCCTGTGTTACGTTAGTTATTTCCTGCTTTGGGATCAGTGTGCTCACCTGTGGAACACACAGCTCTAGTTTCAGATTCGTAGCTAACCTGCAAGATCCTCCTGCCAGGCAGCTTGTGAGCCTCTTTTGGTGCAGACTGGAGGAGACAAGTAGTGACCCTAGGGAGGGCGGGTCCTTTGTTTCTCAGGGGTGTCCTTAACCTGCTTGGCCTGTGCGGGACACTGCAGTTCAGTTGAGTAAATCCAGGTCTGAGACTTAGTATCATAGCAGAAGCCAGTACAAATAGGCACCAGGATCCTGAGGGGAGTCAATAAACACAAGGGCAGAAGATAGACTTTTGGAGGTTTCCTGTGGGGCAGGTGCTGTGTCAAGCTGAACTTCTCTGGTAGGAAGGGTGTCCTGGCAGAAGGAACCTCTTGGGCAGTGCTGTGGAGAAAGCAAGTGGTATCATGGGAACAGAAGTAGCTGATGTGTCATCTTGTGTATGAACAGGACAGACAGACCCAAAGAGTAGGGCTCACACAGGGCAGACCCCAGTGACCTCAGAGTCCAGACTTGCCTTATCCAGAACTCTCAAGTGATGTAGTCTAGGACCAGGATCTGCTGCAGACCCGCAGTGCCTGAGAGCTTGGACCCGCCATGACCACAGAGAGACACGTGGATGGTCACCTCAGGGTCCATGTGCTTGAGCCTAAGAATCTAGGGTGCCATGACCTTGGCTAGGTCTCTGTGTCCTCAAGCCAGACCTACACTCGCCAGTGGGTAGACCAGCTGTGGCCTCAGGTAGACCCACTAGAGCCTTAGACCTCTGGCAACTTAGAACCTTGATTTGCTGTGGCCTCAGAGCTTAGTCCTGTTGAGGATGGCATTCAAGGTGAAGAGTCTATGAGTGTTCAGAGCAGGTGTGTTCATTGTTGGTCCCCAGAAATCAGAAAGATTAGCTCTGGTTCTTTGGTCTCAGGCCTAATGATAGGCATCAGGTTCTCCTTCCTACTGCAGGAGTCAGGCCTTGTCAAAGTCAGGGTTTGGTGTGCATTCTGGGGCCCTCCATGTGGGTGGGTGTGGAGTTCCTGTGCTAATGGTGCTTGGCCTCAGCCTCTTTCTCCACCCTGCTGCACCTGAAATCTGAATCCTGAGCCCACTATTCCCTGTTCTAGGGTTTACTGTCTACCCTGGTGACAGGTGGGTGCTTGAGACTGGTCGTCTGTATGCAATCACCATCGAAGTGTTTGATAGATCCAGCAACAAGGTCTTCCTGTCTGACGTGAGTGCCTGCTGGGGTTCTGTTTCCCAGGGCCCTTACATAGATCATCCAGTCTCTTCCTGGTGGTATTGGGAATTTCAGGAGAGGGCTAGGCTCTCCTTTTCTGGGCAGAGGTCTTTCTGTCCCTGTTGAATAAAGCCTAGGGCAGTCACTGTTTGTGTGAAGTTCATTCTCATGACCTTCATCCTCTTTTATTTTTATATATATATTACCTGGTTCCTAGTTGCAACCCCAGGGCCTAGGAAAGGTGACAATAGGCTGTAAGCCTGCCTGTCACACAGATAGCTGGAACTGTAGGACTGAGTCAAGGGGCCTGCCTGTTCTATGCAGGGAGGTCTCTGGGAGGAGTCAAAGGCTAGAGGCATCGGAGGAGTACTGCTCCAAAGCCTCATTCCTTCTGCCTGCTTTGAGAGGCTTTTGGGCCCCAAAGAGCCCTCAGCCTGGCCTGGCTGCTGTTTTGAAGTCCAGTAGCTTTCTTTGAAGCACCACTCACCTGTCCTGTACATCTTCCAGAACATCCGAATTGAAGCTGTGCTTCCTGCTGAGTTTTTTGAGGTTCTGTCTTCTTCCCAGAATGGGTCATATCATCATGTCAGGGCGATACAGAGTGGCCAAACGGCCATCAGCGCAGCCCTCACCTCTGTGGTGGACCAGGTGAGTTGACTTCAATCACCCCTTTTCTATGTCTGTGGTCCTGGGCCCCCACAGCCTATCTATGAGGGCAGAAATGTCAACTGGCAGGGACTATTGCCCCAGGATCACCCTGTGCCACTGTTCAGCTACCTGAGGGGACCTTCCCGCTTTGAGCCCCAGCTGCCCTTGCTGTCTAGGACTTATGAGTGTGACTCTTTCTGTTGCCATAGACTTTCTCTACCAAATCTGCTTACCCCTATAAAAGTGGCCCATGCCTTCCAGGACTGAGGATGAACTTGTTTGAGGAAACAGCATCGGGCACCATGCCCACCACATCCCCTTGTCTTGTTTGCTCGAGTCCTCACAGCCTTTATGTCCTTTGTGTTGAAAATCTTTGTAGGTAGATAGAATTTTACCGTTTGGTGCATTATCAAAGGTGTGTTCTTTCTCCACCTTACACAAACTCCCCAGACCTGTGAGGGCAGCATGTGTAGAGAAAGGAAGGGCCTGTGCCCCAGACAGTCACCTCTCATCACCTGCACTGCTGTTATGGGTTTTGAATGAGATGCTCCAGGCCTCAATTCCCCCTGTAAAGTAGGGACAGCCATGTCCATCCTGTGAAGGAAACATAAAGACTCCAGTGCCCAGCATCTTCTTGTGCAGCTGTTACAGAGCCACAGCAAACCATCTTCTCAGGAAATAGGAAGGCTGTGGGCTGCCTATATCCCTTCCATATTCCCAGAAACACAAAACTACCTTTGTGGCCTGGTTCCCAGGTAGGGCTAGAGTCTGGGTGATTGGAAAATGCTATTGATAATGTTGTCATGGTGGCATGCATCAATCTTATTGTAGGATGGAGGGGTCCATGTGCTACAGGTACCTGTGTGGAACCAGCAGGAGGTGGATATTCACATTCCCATCACACTCTATCCTAGCATCCTGACATTTCCATGGCAACCGAAGACAGGCACTTATCAGTATACCATAAAGGTAGGTGAGGTACCTCTGGGTGTCTTCTTTAGGGTATTTCCTTGGAATAATGCCTATTTGTCCATATATTTATATATTTATTTATTTATTTTGAGACAGGATCTAAATAAACTGTGTAGGTCTGACCAGATTGGCCTGGAACTACTCACTATCCTGTCTCAGCCTGCTTTGTGCTGGGATTATAGGTGGGCACTACCACATTGCTCTCTAGAGGTCAGAGACAATATTAATCAGAGAGTCTTTATGGTCTCATCAACCCTCTGGTCCACCTGCAAGAGTTAACAGGTATCCTGCCTGCACTGGCACCTGAACACTAAGATGTGTCACCTTCCTTGACTCTGGGGTTTCAGATTGATCTGTGACCTAGAACAGGACCTGTCATTGGCTCCGTAGCAGCCAGTTAGGAGCAGGCAAGGCTGTTTGCTAGGGGAGCTCATATTTGCCACAGAGCATTGCAGGTAGCTCTGTGAGATGAGCTCTCTGAGCTCTGGGAGGTGCCTCTGGGTTTCCGGACCACTATTACATTTCCAGACCACTGTACATTTATGTGTCAGTCACCAGGTCCCCAGAATACAAGGAATGGAAATGAGATAGGATAGAGGAGGCCAGGGCCGAAGGAAGCCTCCAAGCATACACTGGTCCATGCCACCTTGTTCTGTGGGTGGAGGGACACCTTGGCTGTGTGAGTAGGTGTAGCTTGAATGTATGGAAGTGTGTGTGTGCATGTGCATGATAGTGTATGTGTTTGAGGAGTGGATGGGTGTGACTATAGTGAGTTCACAGTATCGATGTGAATATAGGTGTGATGTGACTGAGTGTAAATGGGCATAGTTGAATGGTGAGTGTGAACAGGCATATGAATGGGCATCTGTGAGTAGACCAGTGTGGGTGGGTAAGGCACCTGTGCACCCAGATGTGAGTGGATGAGAATACTTATGTGACTGTGAGTGAATGAGCACACACACGTCCCTAGCCCTGTCCTTTCCTCAGGCAGAGAGGAGAAGGGGGCTGATTGATCTTCTGGCCATTTTCCTCTCTAGGCCCATGGGGGCAGTGGGAACTTCAGCTGGTCTTCATCGAGCTCCATGGTTGCCACGGTCACCGTCAAGGGTGTCATGACCACAGGAAGTGACACTGGACTCAGTGTTATCCAGGCGCATGATGTCCAGAACCCTCTCCATTTTGGTGAGATGAAGGTGAGATAGGGCTAGGATAACCCATGGAGAATCTTAGGATACGGGCTCCAGTTGCCCCTCTTATCCAGCCCTCAGGCCTCATCCAGAGCTCTTGTTCTTCTGCCTGGCAGTGGTGGTATGTAAGGGATTGATGGGCCCAGTCCCAGCCCTGCTCTTGAGGAAATCAAGGCCCTATCGTGAGGGTGGACAGAATGCTGAGCATGGGTCTACAAATGCCAAAACCCACAGAACTGGAGGACATGAAATAACCAGAGCCATTGTAGAAAGTTCCCCATGCCTGAATGATAGGAATCCAAATTGGGAGGAGCTTTGAGGGGTGGATTGAAAATTTGCAGAGGAAGGAGGCTTCCAGGCTCCCAACAGGCTCCTCTTCCTATATTCCTGTTAAGGTGCAAGTCCAAAGGTCCTGCCACTGGCCCTGCACCTGATATTTGACCCTGACTGATCAGAAGTCTAATTTAGGGCAGAAATTGGGCTCCATGGTATGTCCAGTCCCAGCTTTCTCTTATCATTGGGATGTAGGTTTTCATTGGGATCCACACGTAGCCTCAGATATAGGTGTATTTAACAGGCTGATAGAGTGAGCTTATTTGCCCAATATTTGTAACAGTTGTGAGCCCTTTGGTCCTTCCTCTTCACTATAAAAAAACACCTTTCACCCATGGGCCTGGCAGAAGCCAAGAACAGTCTTTAAGAGGCTACGGTGTACATCATGGTTAGAACTGGCTACATGGAACATGACAGCTGGTTCCCACCAGGACTCCCAGCTATGCATGGGCCACTAAGGCTTCGCCTTGGGCTTCATTTCTCATCAGAAAAGAGAGGCTGAATGACCTGCCTGACAGGGAGGCAGAGTGGGAAGGAATCGCTAGTGCTGCTTCTGTCCTCCTCCCTGGACTAGCACTTTACTTGGAAAGGTCTCCTCAGGCCTTAGCCTGGCTGTCACCAACATGACTGTCAGGTCTGAGTGCCTAGGTCACTTCTTGGAGAAACTGTCCCCGACCATGCCTTCTTGAATCTCCCCCAAGCCCAGTTCTGTCCTTGGATCAAGATGTCCTCAAGTGTCCCACCCATATCAGCTCTTAGTAAACCTGAGCAGCCCAGTAAGCCCCTCTTCCTCCTCTGGAGGCTGATAGGCCTGGGCTTCCCCTCCTTCTTCAGGTGTATGTGATTGAGCCCAGCAGCATGAAGTTTGCCCCGTGCCAGGTGGAGGCAAGAGTGGGCCAGACCCTGGAACTGCCCCTGATGATCAGCGGCCTCATTCCCAGTGGGGCCAGTGAGGTGGTCACCCTGAGTGACTGCTCCCACTTTGACCTGGTGGTGGAGGTGGAAAACCAGGGTGTATTCCAGTCAATGCCAGGTAACCAATATCTTTGACCCTGTATCAGATAGCAGGATGGTATTCAGATGACCTGGGTTCTCTGTAGGCACCGGAGGGGCCAGAGCATGGGGATGGCCCCTGCCCCTGCCCACCATCAGTTCTTGTCTGTTATAGAAGTGGAATGGTACTGGTGGTGGCTATGGCAGTGGCAGCCCTGCAGGTGTGGGACAAGATCTGTGCATGTCTGACCTCATTTAAACTATATACAGTAATAGAAGGAGCTGCTGTTGGGCTCATGTCAGATGGAGACACTGGGCTTCTTAGTTGCCCATGACCTGGGAAGAAACAGGACACACACTTAGAGTTACTAGTCTCTGAGCTGACCAGAGACATGGACGAAGGCAGTGGAGGGTTAGACTTGGTTTGTAGGTTAGGAGAAGTGCAGGATGGGCAATTGAACGGGAGTAGGATGTGGGCAGGTTGTTGGAGGTAATAGGGACAGCATTTAGTAGGTTTGAATGCCCATGCCATGGCCCAAAGATGGGCAAATCTGGCAGGGCTCGTCATACAATGGGCCAGAACATGTTCTATTACAGAGGGCTGGGGTCTAGAGCCCAGGCACAGGGAGCCATTGAAGGTGTTTGAGCAGGGGTGTGATCCTAGCAGTGTTTGGGAGTTTATTGTGGCACAGGTGCTTCTCATGTAGCTATGTACACCCAGGCTTGTCATTATATCCATCCTCTTGCTGCACAGAGGATGAGGGGAGCACCTGACAAGTGTCTGAGCCAAATCATCAGCCACCAGCCTTAGGAAATCTAGTGTTTCCACATTAGGCATTTTAAATGGAAGAAGTGTGCCATAGGAGATAGGCAGGCTTGTCCTCTGTACTGGTCCCACATCTGTCCTGTAGGGCATCTAGAGAATGCAAATTGGGCTTGGAGTCAGTGCTCCAGGCAAAATCCATGACTTGCCCAGGATTTTGCCTAGAAAGCCCAGGTTTGATCCTCCTTATCACTTACTGTATTGTGGTCAACCTCTCTTGAGACTTGGTTTCTTCGTGCTTTAAGGGAGTAAGGAGGCAACAGCCTCTCCTTGCTGTGAGGGTTACATGTGGATATCCCTTTGCAAAGTTCAGGAATTTTCAAGGACTCTAAAGTTCTGAAGACAGCAGCCCAAACAAATCCTGTGTGGTATAACTTTCCTTTATAAAGTGCTAGAATCTCCCTCTCTGTATGTATGGGATGCAGCTTGGAAACCTGGACTTCTGGTTGAGGCACACAACTGTTCATGGGAATCTCTGGGACTTAGCAGGCCAGGACAGCAGCTTCCTTGTGTGTGGGAGGCCCACCCTCAGGCATACTTGACCCAGGGGATACCAGGATAGGTGAGTGGTGTCTGTCCCTCCACGTTCAGGATGTAGAACCAAGGAAGGGACTGTACCAAGTTCCCCATTAGCAACTATGGAATGGGAAAAGGTCTCTGCAAATTGTTTACCTGGTAAGGAGTTAAGATTTAGAATATGTAGAGAACTCCTGCATATCAACAACAATAAAATGGATAACACAATTGAACAACGTGCAAAGGACTTCAGCAGGTATTTCTTGAAACTTGATACATAATAGTCACTAGCTTAGGAAAAGATGCCCACCCTCAATAGGCATCACAAAAATTTAAATCAAAACCATAAAGAAGGGACTGGAGAGGTTGATCAGTGGTTAAGAGCACTTGCTGCTATTGCAGAGGACCCTAGTGCAGTTCCCACATCTGGTGACTCAAAACCACCTGTAACTCCAGCTCCATGGGATCCTCTTCTGGCCTTCAAGGACAGTGCACTCATGTGCACATACATACTCAGATACACACATATACACATGATTAAAAAATAAATCTTTTAAAAACAAACACAAGGGAGACCATCCATTGGGGTGGCTATTAACAACAGCAGTCAGCAGCAGAGAGGTGCAGAAGTTGGACCTAAGCTCTGCTGGAGGAAAGGTAAAATACAGCTATCATGCAGAACAGTGTAGTGGAACCTCAAAAAATTAAACATATACTACGTGGTCCAGGAAGTCTTGTTTCTGGACATAGACCTAAGGTTACTGAAAATGTGAACTCAAAGACATTATTGTTAATTATTTTTTGAGGCAGGGTCTCCCTGTAGCCCCAGCTGGCCTAGAACTTACAGAGATCTGCCTGCCTCTGCCTTCCAAGTCCTGGGATTAAAGGCGCATGACACGTGCCCAGCTCAAAGACATTATTTGCCAACCATATTCATAGCATCATTATTTACAAACAGAGGCAGCTCAGGTGTCCATCCATAGACGAGAGGGTGCAGGTCATGTTCAACCATAGAAGGAAGGAAGCTCTGATGTTGCACAGCACCAAGAAACCTTCAGGACATTGTGCTGAATGAACTAAGTCAGCCACAAAAGGATAAATACTGTGCGATTCTACTTGGTGAGCTACTCAGAGTAGTCCAGTTCATGGAGATAGAAGAATGATAGGCACCAGGGACTGGGGGAGTCACAGTATAGTGGTCCACTTTTGCAAGTCAGGACCTGCGAGGCAGCTGATGATGGTGCCTGCTAGATCTGGGACCTGTGACCAAGCCTGCTGCTGAGCTGTATAGGAGAATGTTGAGGGAGGAAATTTATGTGCCATGTACTTTACCAGAATTTAAGTAATATATATTTTTTTACATACTTACTTAAAATTTGATGGAAAATAATAGCAGGAATGAGAAGCAGCAGGTAGCAGCAACCTCAACTGGGAAAGACACTTGGCTGCACATGCCCATGCCTGCCCTTGGTCCCCCTCCTCCAGTCACAGCTGATAGAAATGCTAGAGTCTGCCTTCAGAAGACAGACCCACTTATGTTTGCATCGCTACTGCATAGCATAGCACAAGCTGGAACCAACTTGAATGTTCTCGGTGGCATGGGGAAATCTTCTGTACATTCATCCATATGGCAGAAAACCTGTAGAAATGTGGGTAAAGCGTGCCGAACGGTGACCTGGAGCAGCTCAAGCCCACTGCTCCCCTTCATCTAAACCCCAGACACAGCTCAGCAAAGCTATTTTGGTGGAAATCGGAGAGAGGATGGAGACCAGGAGAGGCTGAGGTGCTGGTAATCTATTTCTTGATCTTGATTCTGGACATAAGATGTGTTGAGCATGTGGGTGGTATTGGGGGTGCTGGGGGGGGTCACTGAACTGTAAACTCAGCAGATGTATGCATGATGTACATAAATCACACTTTAACTTGCTTTTGTTTGTGCTTTGATATTGGGGATGGAACACAGAGCCTGGTTCATGCTAGGCATGAACTTCCACTGAGGTACACCTCTAGCCCCTAGAAATCTTAAGTTCTAACAAAATCACATTGTATATGAAGCCTAGGATAACAAGGGCCCTGGGCTTGCCATTTCCCCACTGAGCAAGTTCATATTGATACCTGGTTTTCTTCACACAGGGAGGCTTCCACCAGGGCCTGAGCACTGCAGTGGAGTCAAGGTGAGAGCCGAGGCCCAGGGCTCTACCACACTCCTTGTGAGCTATACACATGGCCATGTCCATCTAGAAGCTAAGATCACCCTCGCTGCTTACCTTCCCCTAAAGGTAAACTGTACCCTGCTTTTCACCACCTGCCCTGGCCCCCACCCTCCCTGTTTTGAGTTCCTGGAGGTTGGGTAGGAGTGACCTCTGTCCTTAGGTGTTAAGTGCCATGGTCCCCGTGGGCAGGCTGTGAGTCCCTCCGCACCATAGCCACCCTGGTCTGTAAGAGCAAGTGAGAGCTCTCTGTCAAGCCCTGAGTGTTTTCCCTTTGCTTGTTGAAGATTTTGAGGACTTTATGGTCCTTCTTGTAAGTTTACTCTTAGATTCAGTGAGTAATTGAGATCCTGCTGTGCGCTAGGCACTGTTTTGAACCCAAGGGCCTGCCCTGGGCACCTCTGTACACCTCCTCAATGGTGAAGAAAATAAAGCCATAAAGCCAGGTATGGTGATGCACTCCTGTAATCCCAGCACTCAGGAGCTAGGGGCAGGAAGATCTCACATTACAGGCCAGCCTGGACTGTATTATGAAACTGTTCTCAAGAAGCAAAACAAAACCCCCCCAATAAACAGCAAAACAAGAAGAAAGTGATAGAAACACAGTGGAGCCAAAAGTTAGGGCAGCACGTCAGCCCGAGTGCCAGTGAGGTCCTGTGGCTATACTTCCTGGTCCTCCCTACGCATCCTGTTAAAATTGTCATCTTCCCCACACCCCACCTGCATCGGGCACTGAAGATTGAGCCCAGGGCCTGGAGTGTGCTAGGCAAGTACTTTACCACATCTTTAGCCCCCTTTTTTTAAAATTTTGCGACAGTATTGTTGTGTAGTCTAGGGTGACATCAAACTCAAAATCCTCCTGCCTTAGCCTCTCACATTACTGGGATTATAGGCCTATACCCCCACACACTGGTTAGTTTCTGGGTTTGTTTTTTCTTTTTTCTTTTGGGACAGGGTCTTACTAAGTAGCCCTGGCTGGCCTGGAAATAGCTATGTAGATCAGGCTGACCTTGAACTCAGAGATCCACCTGCCTCTGCTTACCAAGTGCTGGGACTAAAGGCTACCACCATCACCCCCTGCTGGCTTCTGTTTTTTATCACACAGTGTGGTTGGGGTAAATGTACGCATTGCCTTGTGTCCTGCATTGCAACACTTGGTCAGTTCTGTATTAGAGACCTGCCTGAGGTGCCACTGTATAGTTACCTGGCATCCTCTTTGTGGACTTGAGTTTGTGGCCATCTCTTAGCTGTGATAAATAGGCATGAGGAATACTTCTTTGTGAATGAAGTTGTTTCTTTCCCACTTAACTCTGTGCAAGGCTAGATCCCGGGTAGGAAGCTCTAGGGTTTTAGGGCCAGGGTATTTTAGGGTATTTTCTAGTGTAACCCCTGCCCTAGTGAGGACTTAATTCTTCTAGAAGGACCCTGACTCGGGATCTTCCTGAGCCCTGTGAATACTGTGATGTGGAGACCCAAGTTTCAAAGAAGACACAGCTTGCCTGGGATATCACTCAAACAGTCAGGACCTGACCTCTGCATGCCTGAACCTGGATGCCTCCTCCAGAGTAATGCTGAGCCTTCTCCCACTTCTTTCTCCAGGCCGTGGATCCTTCCTCTGTTGTGGTGGTAACCCTGGGCTCCTCAAAGGAGATGCTGTTCGAAGGAGGCCCCAGACCATGGGTCCTTGAGCCCTCCAAATTCTTCCGGAATGTCACTTCTGAGGATACAGGCAGCATCACCCTGGCTCTCCTGGGCTCCCCAGCCTCCCGGAATTACCAGCAGCACTGGATCCTTGTGACCTGCCGGGCCTTGGGTGAGCAGGTGAGTGGAAAGCCACCCTCAGTCCCACTTTGTCCCTGGGAGAGACAGAAAATATACTTAGTTCCTAAAGAGCCCTGAATCCTGCTCTTGTACCCATTTTACAGATGGGCAGAACAAGGTTCAGGGAGGTGGGGTGCAGGTTGAGTGAGGTGCCACTTACGGGTTCCCCAGTACCCCTCTTTCTTAGAGCTAGCGTGTCAAGGTATCCTCTTTCTTGGGGCTGTAGCATCTCCCCCTTCCCTGGCTGCAAAGTAGGATAGAGATAGAGGTTTGAGGTCAGGAGTCACATAGCCCAGTGTTTCAGGGTCAGGCAAATATCAAAAAGGGGTGAAGTCCTAGACCTCGGTTTGACGTACCAACTGGACCTTCCAGGATCGGGTGGAAATGCTAATGTTTATACACGTGAATCTCTTAGTTGTTTTGTTTGAGATAGAATCTCTATGCAGCTGAGACTGGCTTGAATGAAACTATGTAGTTATGTTGCCCAGGCCAACCTTGAATTCATTCTGCCTCAGCCTTCCAGGTGTTGGGGCTATAGGTGTAAGCTGTCATTCCCAACTGCAGTGTTTTTAGCTTTTTGTTTTGTTTTTGTTTTGTTTATCTTTTTGAGACAGGGTCTCCCTATAGCCTCAGCTGGCCTGGAGCTCACTATGTAGATCAGGCTGGCCTTCTGCCTCTGCCTCCTGAGTGCTGGGATTAAAGGCATGCACCACCATGTCTGGCTTGTTTTTGTTTTTTAATGCTGAAAACCAAAATCAAAAAATGCGAGAAGATTGCTTGGACTGAACCCAAGTGTGCCTGTGCCCTAGATTCCCACATGGCTGGCTTGACTGGGTTGGCAGCCGCTCACAGTGCAGGCCCCCTGGTGCCAGTACCCTTTCCCTCTGGCCAGGCCAAGGCTAAGGGCTGTGTGCTCTTTTGGCTTCTAATGGATCTACTGCTGTGTTCCTGAGACTCCCCAGAGAGGAACAGAAAGCAAGCAGATCTGTGAACCAAAAAGACAGGAAAATGCCTGTTTCTTTGCATGCCTAGTAGTGCGAAGAACACAGATTCAGTTGAGGGCACTTGTGCACACCACTGACCAGGCCCTCTGATATTGGCCATGTCAAAGGCTGCTGTGGTCAAAGGGAAACTGGAGAAAGGCATCAGGGTATTTATGAAAGCACAGAAAAAATATTGAGAAACAATAAATACATAATACAAAATAATAAGAATTAAATTAGTGGTAAAATTAAAGACTTCTTATCCCAGCTTAGTTGGGTCATTGGGGACCATGGCCTGGCATGGCATGTAGGAGTTGGACCCTGGGCAAGGTCCCATCCAAGGCCCTCCCAGCCACACTCCATGGCTCTGGGACACCTCCCTCCTTCCCACTGTATGTTCAGGAGGGGCAAGGGGCTGCTAGACCAGATTGCTTGGTCTTCAGCAGTTGCCTATCACTGAAGAGACTGGGATTCTCCCTCAGATGTGGCCCTTAGACACAGTTCTTGTAAAGCCAGGGGCTGGACTTGACTTTAGAGGGCCCACTCCAGTAGCAAACAGACCTTTCTGTTTCTTGTGCCAGCTCCTCCCATCCTGTCCACTGCTGCAGGTGGTAGGTGTCACCATCATCCCCTCTTTGGGAGAGCAAGCAGAAGTGAGGCACGTTGTTCCACCTGTGGCTCTGGCTTCCCCACTGTGCTTTGTCCTTTTCTGACTCACTCCTCTAGAATCGGTCCGGCGCCCTGTTACCATGCAGATTCCTATATCAGTGCCCCACTTTGAGTGTGAAATCAGCACACAATCCTCTTTGAAGTATTCAACAAGACCTTCTAGAGTTACAAATGCAGCTCTGGGGTTTTTCTGGGGTCCTGGGAAACCACATGCTGCCTCTGATCTGCCTCTTCTCTGAGGTTTTATGAAGGGTACTTAATTTTAGGCCTGTCCCAGCATGCCTTAGTGAACCCTCTGGGGTGCAGCTATCCTTACCCACCCTACAGAAGTTAAGAGTCTTAGCTCAGAGAGGAGGTGACCCTTACTCAGGTGTCTAACTGCTCCTTCTGCCCCTCTAGGTCATCGCCCTGTCCGTGGGGAACCAGCCCAGCCTCTCTAACCCCTTCCCAGCAGTGGAGCCCACTGTGGTGAAGTCTGTCTGTGCTCCACCGTCCAGGCTCACCCTCACGCCTGTCTATGCCCTCCCCCAGCTAGACTTCTCCTGTCCACTACTGCAGCAGAACAAGCAGGTGGTGAGTGTGGCAAGCTCCCAGCGAGGTGGATGACTGCCTACTGGGTAGGCAGGAGGACATCAGCCCTCTGCATCTATAGTCTTGAGTGTTGTAATGACTAGAGCTCTACACCTCACCGCCTAGATGTCAGCAGCCAGTGCTGTGAGGGGTGTTTCTGTTTGCCCCTCACATGGGGGATCTAGGCCCTCCAGAGGTAGGGTGACTTCATTGGTCCCTGACTTAAAAAAACACTCAGCTTATGGTTTTTCCACTTTTCAGTGGTGAGAAGGCAATAGACATTTGTTTGAAAGCATACTTAAGAGTTTGAATGTTGGGCCTTCCATCCTCCCTTAATGCCATGGAGAGCAAGCCAGCGCAGCTTCACAATCATGAACAACTGATGGTCTATGGGGTGCTGTGTTAAAGAGCAGACTCTGTGTTGGAGGATGTGCCCGACTGTTGGCTGACACATGAGGGGCAGTCTGGGTGAGTGAGGTGGCACTATAGGTTCTGTATGGAACGATGTGTTAATTCATGATGGGTTCCGCAGGATGTGACCCTGTCCTAAGTCCAGCAGCCTCTACACTGGTGGTGCAAGATGCAAACACTGCTGTGTGATTCCAGACTCGCTGTTGCACTCTGCTGGGCATCTGAGGGGTTGTAAAGCCTTTGTAGGGTCTTCTGTGACTTCAGTGTGTTCAGGTGGAGGTTGTTTGTGGGCTGAATGTATGTGGTCAGAGTTGATACTGGGGCTGTGAGGGAGGGGACAGCTGCAGCATTGCATTGTGATGGTGGGAGGTGGGGGCTGTTTCCAGAGAAAGTGTCAAGAGGGGAAGAAAGTCCCTAGAGCCCTCTAACAACATTGTGAGGTCTTCTTCCCTGAGAACTGGGACCCATCCAATCCCTCACCCCCAGGGCATAACAACGAGGACGCTAAGTGTGGCCTGCTTAGGGATGTGGGACACACCAGCCCCAGCCCTGCCTGGAGAAGGGAAGCCAATGTCTCTTTATCTCTCCTGCACATACTTTTGGAGCAGGTCCTCCTGGCCCTTCAGTACTCAGCTTCTGATACTAGTGATGAGGTAGATGAGGAGCCATAGGGAGACAGGAGGGGCATGGAGGGCACAGAGAACATAGCCAAGAGGGGCCAGTGCTCCCAGGAAGACAAAAGGGCCACAGAGCATACCTGGAGGGGCCAGTGCTGCCAGGGGAGAAAGGAAGGCCACAAGAAAGATGGAGGGGTTAGTGCTGGCAGGGAGATAGGAGGGTCACAAGAAAGATAAAGGGAAGGGCCAGTGCCACCAGGGAGACAGAAGGGCCATAGAGGGGTTGGCAGGAGGGACTGCTGTAGGAGGAGCAGGCAGAGAGATGCCAGCCTGGTAGAACCAAGGGAAGGTCTCCCAGCAGGTAGGATGGGAAGAGCAAAGACCCTGAGGCCAGGCTGTTTCTCCACTGTCTTACTGTTAGCACAGTAGCAGAACAGTTCTTTGTGCTGGGAACCTTCACCTCTGAGCCTTGTTTCCCCCATCATCATGGCCATCTTCAAGGCCAGGTTTGCCCATAAGGCAGAGTCGAAAATGCAGAACCAGGTCTATTCAGCTACAAATGCAGCGCCTCTTCCTGGTCCCTAAGAGCCAGTGATTTTCTGGAGCCACTTCAATGGAAACTGCTCACTACCAGGCACCTGGACTTCCTGTACACTTGACTAAACCTGTCTGATGCTGGCTGTGTCTGCAGCCTCCCTAATCTTAGAACAGGATGCTGTGGAAGTTGGGTCCCTCGTGGGAGAAGGACAGCTTCCAAACTCATCTCTTCGAAGTTGGGGTGTGGGGAGCTGCACAGCCGAATGGAACTTAGGGATCCTGCTGCTCTGCTGAGTCAGTGTGTTCTGCCTTCTCTGGCCCTTGCTGGTCACTCGGAGCTAAGGCTAAAGTCTCTGTAGATCTATGGATCTACACCACCGAGGCCTCCATTTAACCTCATACTGCTCCATATGGGTTGGTTCAAAGTAAGGATTCTTGGTGTTCAGATTCAGAGCACTTTTCACAGCCCCCCCGGATATCCTGTGGAACATGTGCCTTGCTCCTTGTCACTGAGGCAGGGGAGTTTCAGGCTCAGAGCTTGTAGCCCTGGAAGCCATTGCACAGCTGACTCAACTCCGGATGTTTACATTGCAGAGTGAATGAGCGTCTTTCCCCAGCCTCAAATTAGTGCACTCAGAAAAGGACCTCTCTTTCTTGATTTGGAGGTTCATGGAGATGAAATCCTGAAAGATTTACATTTTTTAAGATTTTTAAATTTTTTGTTGCCACTTTGCTAACCATTTGTGAACTGCAGTGTGATGAAGTTGACGTGTGTTTATAGTATGAGTGATCAAATCAGGACCGTGAGGAGCCTTCCTTCTCAGACATTGGTGGTTTGTGTCAGGAAGCTTCAAACTGTTCTCTTGCTGCTGTTTATATATTATAGTGGCCTTTAGTCACCCCCCTTCCCCACCCTCTGTTACCGCCAGAACCCAGAGCTTACTTCTCCTGCTCCCTATCCTCTCTCTGGCCCAACCTCCTTCCCTGTTTCTGTGAAATCAAGGTTTTAGCTGCTACATGTGCATGAGAGCATGCTTTGCCTGATTCTGTCTCCTCAGTTTGTTTGTAGGCTTTACCTTTTGGCTCACCTGTCTGTATTGAGCAGCTGTCCTTAGTGGAGGGAACAGAACTGTGCTAAGCCTAGATCCTCAGGGAACATCTGGCCTGCTGGGTCCCCCTGGCTGAAGGAGCTGGAGTCAGTGAAGGAAGGTCCACCATGGGCCCAGCGTGAGGGACCATTGGCCTGAATCCAAGTCCCACCTGCTGTGGGAGCCGACTGTCTTTGTTGGTATCAGTGCCAGGTGACCAATGCATGGTCCACAGTGGAACCATAATACACTTTGTTTCTGTTTTATGGCTTCCGATTGACTCAGTGAGAAGGCCAAGGCTGATGTGTGACCTGCAGTGCCCTGTGTCCCAGTCCTGGTCACCCTTCTCTATGACTCCACGCCTTTGATGCTTAGACACCTTGTCATTCCCAGGACTTGTTGCCAGTGCCTCCCTTAGGACTTGGACAGCCTGCTCCCTGCGTCTTGTGTGCTCCCCCAACCCTGGCCCCACACTTTCCTCTGCCTCCCTCAGTTCTTCATTCAGATTCTCCCTTGTCATTGGCCCTCTACAGCCTTCACTTTTACTAAGGTTCACCCCCTTCAGCATTTCATACTCCCCCCCAACTCCTCCCACCCCCAAGTACCCATGGTGACCTATTTCTGAAGAATCTGCTTGCTAGTTTAATTTCTACCAGTCACCTGAACAGAGCCTGGCTCCTGCTATGAGCTCAGCAAACAATGGGATGAATAAGCCAAGAAGCACACTGCCCCTCAGTCCCTCTGAGAGGTACTGTTATATAGACAGAGGGACACTAAGGCAGTAAGGGCATGGGGACTGGAGGCTGACCTAGACCACAGGTGCCTTTACACTGGGCAGTCTGTGCTCCTGAGCCATAGCTGGGTGAAAACTACATCAGATCTAGGTGTGTCTTCCCTATTCTTAAGTATTGGCTAGTTGCTAAGCAAGCTGCATCTGGAAGAAGTGTGCCTGGTCTGTCTGAGGCCAGAGCAGGTTAGTCCAGGGTTGTCTCCGAACTGAAGGTAATGGTGTGGCTATAGAGCTCGACTGAGTGAGCTGTGTGTTGTCAGCAGGAAGTAACGGGCCTCGGACTCAGAACTGCCATGCAATCCATCAGTCCCTGTGCTCCTGAGCCATGAGCCAGCCATTCAGGCATGACCCCTGTGATTTATGGTCTCATTAGGGGACCTTGAAGAAGATCTATTCCCACGGTGCATCTAGGTGCAGTATCAATTTAGTTTTATAGCTCTCCAAATCCAGAGGCCATCTCGGACATGTTTGCAGAGTAATTATTGGCAAGGTGAGACACCAGAATGGAGTCAACCAGCCAGAATGACAAACTAGAGTCAGAGTCAGCCTGACCATGGACCTCCCGCAGGTCAGCCAGTGTTCTGCTCACCAAGCGGAGGTGTTGCCATGTGCCTGGAGACTGCTTAACCTAGGCTTGAGTAGAACTGGTACCCAAGGAGAAACCAGTGTCAAGTGAAGTCATTGGTGAATCTGGCCCACTGAATGCCAGCTCTAAACCTGTGTAACTGAGCAAGTTGTTTAAGGTGTCTGAGCCACAGACTCCCCTCTTATTAAGTGGGAAAGTTCCAGTCAGCATGGAGCATGCTTGCACACGGTTAATGTCTTTTCCTGGAAAGCATTCATTTTCCACCTAGGGTTGCATCTGAAAGAAAAGGGTGGGGTATCTGGGACAGGCCTCTGCAGTCCCAACCCACATTCATAGCTCCCCCAACTTGTGTCCTGCCTAGTCATAAATCCCTTGGTGTGTGTCCAGGTGGTAGCTGAGCTGCTGGCAGGAACAAGTGCCTTTTCAATTTGCAACATTTTTAATCAGGTGTTGTCTGGTGGTGGAAGAGCTACAAGGAGCAGAGGAGGGATTCTGGAGGTGGGGGTGGGGAGCTCAGTGGCTATATCAGCTTTTGTGGTTTTGCTCTGCTACAGTAACAACCCTCCCTCCATTCAACTATGTATTATATGTTCAGCTCTTGCCTATACATCTTGGGTTCCCTCAAGAACCCTCTGTCTTATTGTTATCTTTATTTTGAGACTTGGGGTGTAGAGCCACCATTGTGCAGAGAAAGAGACTGTGCTTAGGCATCAGGGGTTCCTCTGGAATTGCTGCATCAGTTGCCATATTTCATTGGCCAATACTAGTGGCAACCTAAGGTCAGAGAGGACAGTCCATCCTGCTGGGCCATACCTGAATGAACTAGATCAGTTGGTGAATTGTACTAATGACTATCCCATTTCCCTACTTTGGTATGAATTATAAAGACCCTGTCTCTCCATATTTAAAAAGAAGTCCCAGCTAGTTGGGTTCTGCTTCCTGTCCTGACTGGAATAGCCAAGAACAGAGATTTTTGTACCTTCTTGACTAGGAAGAGGTGGAGCCAAGGGTTAGTCCAGGACGGGGAGATGTTGCTACTTGACTTGGCTGTCCTCTGTTATTTGTTCAGGGAGGATGCACGTTCTCACCCCCTATTGAGAAGCAGGGGCCATGTTGGACATGTCTTTGGTATACTTGGTGGCTGGCAGCAGTGAGCATTGGGTTATAACTCATCCCCACCCCTCCATTAGGACCCTCTGAGCATGGGAGACAACTGCCTTCATGGCACATTGGCAGTGGGCAGTGGTGTGTGAGTCCTGGGTGTGGCTCAGTCTGACTTTTGCCTTTTAGGTTCCAGTATCCAGCCACCGCAATCCCCTGCTGGACTTGGGTGCCTACGACCAGCAGGGCTGGCGATTTGACAACTTCAGCTCTCTGCACATCCACTGGGAGTCCTCCCGGCCATCATTGGCCAGCATTGAGCCTGACCGGCCCATGCAGCTAGTGTCCCGGGATGATGGAAGTGGCCAAAAGAAGTTACATGGTAAGCCAGATCTTGAGCCAGGGACCTGAGGGTGAACAGAGCTCTGAACATACAGAAAGGTCCTGTGCCAAGCTCATGCCTGGCACTTAAGGTGTCTGGGGCTCCCATTCATCTAACTAAAGTATAGGGTACAGTATGAGTTTATTGCTCCCTTCTGTGTAGTGTTGATTTGTTTTCTTTCTTTTTTTTTTTTTTTGAGACAGGGTCTCCCAGTAGTCCCTGCTGGCCTGGAACTTGTGTTTTTCTTTTTCTTTTTCTTTTCTTTTTTTTTTTTGGTCTTTTTGAGACAGGGTCTCTCTGTAGCCCCAGCTGTTCTGGAACTCGCTATGTAGACCAGGCTGGCCTCGAACTCACAAAGATCCACCTGCTTCTGCCTCCCAAGTGCTGGGATTAAAGGCGTGCACCACCACGCCTGGGTTTTTTATGAGACAGGGTTCCACTGTGGGGCCCTGGCTGGCCTGGAACTCAGATTGGCTTGCCTCTGAGTGCTGGGATAAAAGGTGAGCTCTCCCATGCCCAGCTCCTGTTTTTGATTTTTTTGAGACATGGTCTTACTCTGTAGTCTAGGCTGTCTGTCACTGAATTTGTGGTTCTCTGGTCTCAGCCTTTTGAGCACTGGAATTATAGGCATGCGCCACCACGCCCAGCTTCACTATGTTTCTTTAATCTTGCACAGATCAGTAAGGTAGGGACTAGGGGCTCAGGATCCAAAGCAGGGTGGTCTCCCATCCCAGGTCCCCTGGGCCATGCTGTAGCATTCACAGACCCTTCAGCAGCCAAACACTGAACCTGTGCCCTCAGCCCTCCTTAGCAACTGTGCTCAGGGCTGCTGACTCCTATGGGACACAGAACCTCAGAAAACTCAGCTACCTGTTTTAAACTTGAAACTGTGAGTCAGCAGGGCAAGAGGTGGCTCCAAGGCAGCCACTGGGCCAGTGGCCAACGTTGCCCTCCCCTTCCTACTCTTAGGCTTGCAGGCGATTTCAGTTCATGAGGCATCAGGAACCACAGCCATCTCTGTCACAGCAACTGACTACCTGCAGTCCCACCTCAGCGCAGCCAAAGTGGAGCAATCGGTAATTTCTAGAGGACGGCAATGGGTGGGGCCACAAGCAAGGCCAGGCAGTCCCCCTACTTCTGTGTTCATCCTGCCTGGCCCAAGGGTCCTAAACCACCTTGCTGGGGACCACGTCCTGCTAGATTCTTCTCTCCCCAGCATCTCACTAGGGCACCAGGCAGATGTGCTGCTTCTGGGGGGTGATACCCACCCTCTCAGGCCACCACTAAACCTGTGCTCCAGTAGTGTGAAGGGACCAGATACTATCTGGGAAGGGAAAGTGAGGGCTTGCATTCTAAGGAGCCTAGATGTCCAAATGAGGAGGCCCGTTTTCCCCTTAGAGAAAGCAATTCCAAATAGAGAAAGTTGTTCCTGTTTCAAGGGAGGTATGCCTTAACGCAGGCAGTCACCTGTCACTGTCACAAATGTCTTCATCCCTTTCCATTCTTACCCATAGTAGGAACCTGTTGGATGTGGGTGGTGTCACAGGGCTCATGCAGAGCCTCACACCCTGCTGGTCCCATTTTGAGTCCCTCTGGGCTCTTTCTGTCCTGTGGGCAACCCACCCCCACCCCCTGGGTATTAGGACTGCTCAAATCTTCCTTACCTGGGCATCTATCCCTGCTCTTCCTCGGGGAGGGGAGGGTAGCTGGTGCTGACCATGGCCCTCTGAATCTGATGGTGTTGACTTTGTACTTTCAGCATGACCCTCTAGTGCCTGTGTCGGCCTCTATTGAGCTTATTCTGGTGGAGGATGTGAGGGTGAATCCAGAAGAGGTTACCATCTACAACCATCCTAGTGTCCAGGTATGTCCTCCATCCATGCCCAGGGAAGGCTCAGCAGGGCACCCTCTACCCTGTGTCCCATGGCTTGACTTCCTCTATCCCCATGTCCCCCTCCAGGTAGACCTCCATATCACAGAAGGCTCTGGCTACTTCTTCCTCAACACAAGCACCATGGACATAATCAAGGTGGCCTACCAGGAGGCCCGGGGCATTGCCACAGTAAGCTTGGGTCATCAGGGTCCTTGTTGGCTTCCATTTCTCATCCCGGACATCTGGTCAGGTTAATGGATCGTTTGAGAAAGCCAGTGCTTAGTCACATTAGCTGTGTACTGAGCAGATCTTTAGATTCTGATTGTCTCTGAAGGCTCACAGTTCCCATGCCACCTTTGTGATTTCTGTTCTGTATCTACCAATTACTCGCACTGTTAATTACCTAATGCTTTCCTTTCAATCAATCTTTTGATTAATCTTTTAATTAATCTTTTCTTACATAGGCAGCCATAGCCCTAAGAAGCTTGCATTTCAAAGCTGTGCCAGCTTGTTTCTCCACCGTGCCTTCTTTATCCCCTTTACTCTTATGGATAAGTACTTGGTTGGGCCTGTGATTAAAAGAAATGAGTGTCTTGGATTTTTTTTTTTATGTGTATAAATGTTTTGCCTACACCTATATAAATGCATCCATGTCATACAATTCCTGCAGAGGCCAGAAAAGTGTGTTGGATCCCCCGGAGCTGGAGTTACAGGCAGTTGTGAACTACCTTGTTGGTGCTGGGAACTGAATCTGGGTCCTTTTGCGAGATCAGCCAACCACTAAGCCATCTCTCCAGCCCAGTAGCCTGGATTTATTACACCTGAGTTGCTTTTTTTCCTTCTTTCCATATTGCTCTTTGGACTATGCAGTTATTTATACTTGTAGCCATTCTTTTCTTGTAGAGGATTTGAGTAATTTAAAACTTTTATTTTTCTTAATATAGCCAAAGAGTGAAAACAAAATGTCTGCATATTTGTCTGCATGACTGTTTGATGCAGTCATGAAAACAGAACTGTCTTTAGCAGCAATCTTCCTAGTGAAACAAGCTCTGGGACTCATTGGTGTGAGACTGCAGCCCAGAACAGTACAGACCCACACAGGGTCTATACAGGCTACTAGGCCGTTGCCATTGGCAGCTCTGAGCCCAGCTCTGCTTCCCCTTTGTTGAAAGAGGTGGTTGCCCCATTCCCAAGGAGTCAAGCCAGCACCAAGTTTCACCCTGGACTCTGAAGAGGTCCAGGCTCACACAGTGGTGGGATGGTGGGGCTTAGTTTGTGCAGTGCTGGTTGGCTGCCTTCCTGTGGTCCCAGCCCCTCTGCTCTTGACCTTGCCTTGCTCCTGCAGCTAAGCACTTAAAGTCCAGCTGTAGCACTGAGCTGACGCCTGCATTCCAGGGAGGGCCTAGCACCTGCTTTCAGAGGTCCCAGGGCACCTCACTCATTCTTATGAAGGATCTGTTAGTGGAGCTCTAGTCTCTGTGCTGAGGTTTTGGCTATAACTCCCTGCATTTCCATTTCTCATGGTTTTTTAATCCACTGATCTTAGCAGAGATTAGAGAAGTAATGGCCTCTGGGCTGGGCAGGTGTAAAGTGAGGGAAACCAGTGGCGCGTGAGGGATGTGCTTGGGAGGGTGATGCCTACTGCACTCAAGGGTTGACTGTGCGGTACATACTTAAGGAATGAGATTACTGAGTCATGGAAACTGTTTTGAGGAACCACTGATAGTCTTTCTATTTCCTATTCCACCAGCAGGGGATGAGGGTTCCAGTTTCCCCTCCTCCTTGTCAACACTTATTATAATGATCAGACTTTGAATTCTATTTCAGCAGGTACCTTGTGAGGTTGATTGGCATTTCCCTGATGGGTAAAGACATTAGTATTGGATAGTCTCATGTCTTTAGACAAAGGTCTGTTTAAATCCTTTGCTCATTTTTTGTCTTTTTATTGTCATAGAATTTCTTTATATATTCTAGATACAAGTGGTTTATCATTTACATATACATATATCATGTATATATCATCATATATACATATTTTTCTTACACCTTTTTTGGCTTGTCTTTTTACTTTCTTGGTAGCATGCTTTCAAGCTTATAAGTTTTTATTTTGATGAAGAGTAACAGTGTCTTTAAATTGTTACTTATATTTACTTTTATCTTTTGTGGGAGGTAGGCATGAGCATACCACACCACTTGCAGGACTTGGTTCTTTCCACCATGTGGGTTCTGGGGATTGAACTCAGGTTGTCAGGCTTGGCCACAGGTGCCTTAACCCACTGAGCCATCTTGCCCACCCAGAAGTACATGATGTCTTCGATCTGTTGCTCCTGTGTTTCACACCATCCTAAGAATCCATGGCAAATGTGAGGTTCTGAATGTTTATTGTTTTCTTGTACGAGTTTTATGATTTGAGCTGCTAGGTTTTGGTCTTGGCCACACTTGTTAACTTTTGTGTGGGAGGGCAGCACCGTTCTTATGTCTGACTGTCCTAGCACCATTTCTTCTTTCTGCTCTCAGGGACTGGCATCTGTGTTAACCAACCACAGGCATATGAGTTTAGTTTTGAGACCCCCAGTTCTGCTTGAGCCCTGTATCAATCTGCACATCTCTCCTTGTGTCATGCCACAGTGTCCATTACTGATGCTTCATCCTAAGTTTTGCCATCTGGAAATATGAGGCTTCCAGTTTTGGCTTTTCAAGCCTGTTTTGCTATCTTGGGTCCCTCACAATTGCATATAAATTCTAGAGGCAACTTTTCAGCTTCTGTTGTGAAGCTAGATAGAATTCTGTTAGAAATTGTGTTGGTGCCCAAACACTGCCCAACCTCTACTATGAACAGGAGATGCTGCCTAATTGCTTAAGCTTTCATTGATGTCATTTGGCAGTGTTTACAGTTTTTAAGAGTGTAAGTTTTATACTTTTAAATTTTTTAAAATTTTTATTTTATGTGTATGTGTGTATTAAACTTTTTTAAAAATATTATTTTTATTTTATGTGTGTGGGTGTGTTGCCTGCATGTATGTGAGTGCACCCATGTTGTGCAATGCTGCGGAGGTCAGAAGAGAACTTCGGATTCCCCTGGAACTGGAGTTAAGGACGGTTCGTAGCTGCCATGTGGGTGCTGGGAATCGAACCCGGGTCCTCTGCGAGAGCAGTCAGTGCTCTTAACTGGTGAGCCATCTCTCCAGCCCATTCATTTCTTTTTCTTGCTCTGTTGTCTTGGGTACAGAGTCTAGTACAGTGCTGAATAGAAATGGTGAGAGTGGCCCCCATTGCCTTGTTCTAGATCTTGTGGAGAGAGGTGCATGTTTTCAACACCAAGTGTGATGAGAACACTTTACAGGTGTCCTATCAATTTGAGCAAGTTCCTTCTGTTCTCATTTTATTACAGGATTTTAATCATGAAGGTCTGTGGTTTTGTCAAATGCCTTTTCTGGGTCTTTTGAAATTAGCTTATGATTTTGCTTCTTGTTGCTGTGATGTATTAATTTATTTTCGATATTAAATCAATCTTATCTTTCTCAGATAAATTCTAGTTTACTTTTGGGTGTGTTTTGTGTACATACATTTTAATTTTTTTTCTCTTTTTTTGCTTTATTTTTATGTGTATGCGGGTATTGCCTGCATGTATACAAGTGTATCCATGTTATGTAATACATGCAGAGGACAGAAGAGGGTGTCTGATCCCCTGGAACTGGAGTTACAGACAATTGTTACCCACCACGTGAGTGCTGAGATTCGAACCTAGACCTTATGCAAGAAGAGCCAGTGCTCTTAAGCACTGAACTATCTCTGCAGCCCCCATATTTTTTTTAAAGACTGGATTTCACCATGTAGCCCTGGCTGACTTGGAATTCTATATAGACCAGGCTGGCCTCAAACTTAAAGGATCTGCCTGCTTCTGCCTCCCAAATGCTGGTATTAAAGGAGTGCACCACCACACCTAGCAATGTCTATATTTTTCTTGTTCAGAATCTTCGCACTTGTAGTTTTAACAGATGTTGGTCTATAATTGTATGTGTGTGTGATATCTTTAGTTTAGGTATCAAGGTAATATTGAACACCTAGAAAATGTTACAAGTATTCCTTGTTTTGGGAAGAGTTTATGTAGCATTGGAAGCTGTTACTCTTGAATGTTAACTAGTGAAGCCATGTGAGGAAGAGCTTTTCTTGGTGGGGAGTTTTTTTCATTTTCTTCACTTTTTGTAGGTCATGCAAGTTGCTTGTTTTATCTTTTGAATGTTTTGGTAGCTGGGAATTTGTCTATTTTTTCTAGATTGTCTAATGTGTTAGTGACTTTATTAAAGCCCCAGCTGTCGTCATTGCTGCAGTTCTTTTGTTTGGTCTGTGTTTACTTTCTTCCTATCCTAGTTTCTTTTTAAAAAAATATTTATTGGGGCTGGAGACATGGCTCAGCGGTTAAGAGCACTGACTGCTCTTGCAGAGGACCCAGGTTCAATTCTCAGCACCCACATGGCAACTATGAATCGTCTTTAACTCCAGTTCCAGGGGAATCTGAAATCTTCTTCTGACTTCCACGACATTGCATGACATGGGTGCACTCACATGCATGCAGGCAATACACTTATATACATAAAATAAAAATAATAAATTTTTTTATTTATTATTTTTGCTGGGCTTGGTAGCGCAGAGGCAGGTGGATCTCTGTGACTTTGAGGCCAGCCTGGTCTCCATAGTGAATCCAGGCTAGCTTTAGCTACAGGGAGACCCTGTCTCAAAAAGACCCCCCCAAAAATTTATTATTTTTATTTTCTGTGTATGAGTGTATTGCCTGCATGTTATGTAAGTGCACCTGTGTCGTTCAGTACCTGTGAAGGTTAGAAGAGGGTATAGAATTTACCTGGAACTGGAGTTATGGATGGTTGTTAGCTGCCATGTGGGAGCTGGGAGTTGAACCTGGGTTCTCTGGAAGAGCAACCAGTGCTCTTAACCACTAAGCCATCTGTCCAGACCCCTTCCTAGTTTCTTAAAGTGAAAGATGAGATGCTGTATTTACTGTGCATTTCCCTCTTAAGGCTGCTATGGATGCTTCCCACAAGTGCTGCTGTGGACATGTGCATTTTTATTCATCTCAGATTCTCTAACCTTGTTTTAGGTTTCTTCTTTGCACATTAATTATTTAAGAGTATGTCATTTTATTTCTATGTTTGTTAATTTTATGTTTCTTT